GTGAGATGGCTCAGTGGGTTAGGGCACTTGCTGCCAAGCCTGACTGCAGTTTAAGCCCTGAGAGAACTAACTCCTGGAAGCTGTCCTTCGTCTCAAGTGTTGGTGGCTCACACATGTAGTCCTAGCATTTGGAGAGGCTGAGGCAGGAAAACTGCCACGTATTTGAGGACAGTCTGGGCTAAAAGTGAGACCTCACAAGGCATTGAGCATCTCCTTCCACTTAAGTATAGCTGCATCTGAGACTGACCCTCTGGACTCAGACAATAATCCCCACACACGGGTTTTTTTTTTTTTCCTTCAAGACATCAATAAGCAGTATTTATACAGTTATCCATGGTGTTAAACGTTGTATATTAAATGCAGCATTTTTTCTTGCCTTTCTTTGTATTTGAGATGGGTTCTCACTATATTTTAATTTTTACTTGTATTTAATATATATGAGTATTTTGTTTACATGTAAGCGTACCATGTGTGTGCAGTGCCCATGAGGCCAGAAGACAGAATCGAGTTGCCTGGAACTGGAGTTATGGATAGTTGTTAACCACCATTTGGGTGCTGGGAACTGAACCTGGGTCTTCTGCAAAAGTAGCCAGTGCTGTTAGCTGCTGAGCCATTTCTCCAGCCCTGGTCTCACTATACTGCTGTCAGGTTGGTCTCAAATTCATGTGCTCCAGTGAACCCCTGCTTCAGCATCCCAGGCAGCTGAAAGTGTGAGCCATGACATCAGCTTTTCTTTTCTTCTTTTAGAAAAGGTTCATGGAATTGAGGATGTAGTAGGTGTGTGTACTTGGGTTGAACCCAAGCACCACAAAAGACTGCTTTCCTGGCATGCATGAGGCCCTGGGTTCAATCTTGAACATCAGCAAGCAAAGGTTTTTGAACTTTCATGTGTGGTGCTATTACTTGTTAGCTGTATCCACTATCGTATTATTTATGTAATCTTATCCCCTCACCTATTTATGGACATTTACATGCATGTAGTGTGTTGTTCTCATATACTTAGAATGGTACAGCAAATATTTTTTTAAAGGCTTCCTTGTAACCACATGCAAGAATTTCTCTAGGTGCACATCTAGATTTCTGAATCTTTGACCCTAAAAGATACTGCCAAATTGCTTTCCAACGTGGTTCTATGAATATTATTCTTCCCACAGAATAAGAGGGATCTTCTTTTCCTAAATCTTGCAATATGTGGCATTGTTAGACCATTTTTTCCACTTTGATATGGATGAAATGGGACGTCCTGTTCATTTTCTCTTACAATACCCTAGCTTTACCTGGAGACCTCAGTCCAGGCATGTACACATGGAGATGAATCCAGAATGAAGGGTGTGGCTGGCTTCTCTTCTGATTTCTAAGGATTAGGCATACCCAGAGCTGTTTGCTGAGTCCCCCTTGTCCCTTGACATTCTCCTTAAATCTCTGCCCTTTTCAGCGCTTCACAACCCCAGGCATATATATCGTTGACTTCCAGATATAGAATGATCTCCATCTTGAGTGCCAAAACTACTGAAAAGATTTTGATGACCAATAAGCAACTGAGTTAAAATTAGCTTGTCTATTGTCCCATTCACTTTCCCTTTCAAGCCTCATTCTTCCCCGTTCTTCTTTACCCCGGTCAAATGCTCTGTCATTTTCCTCATCATTCAAACCATGTTGTTGGGTTTTTGGTTTGTGTGTGTTTGTTTACGTCTCAGGTATCCCTGACTGGCCTCTGAACTCACTATATAGTAGAGGATGATCTTGAACTTCTGATTCCCTTGCTTCTACCTCTCAAGTGCTGGGATTACAGGAGTGCACCAGCAGGAGTCGCTTTTTATTCTTTCTCATAATCCCACATTCAGCCATCAATTTATGTGCATCTCTGTGTCATGTTATTCACAAATTTCCTCTTTCTGTTTCCACTGCTCCCACTTTGGCCTAAGCCACCATGATCTCTTGTCTGGGCCACCGCAGTTGCACCTAACTAGTCTCCTTGCTCCCCCTCGTGCTTTTGCAAACATCTCTAGCCAAAAGACAAGATGACTTTATTTTCTTGGCAATGCTATGGATCAAACTCAGGACCTTGTGCATGCTGGGCAAGTGCTGTAACACTGAGCTACATCCCTAGTTCCAAGGCCATAAAACAAATAATATGTAACTGCCATACTTAAAACCTTCCAGTGGCTCTTATTTCAGGACATTCAAATTGATAAATACTGTGTTATTCAGTAAACTTCCTGCCTGCCCCTTTCCACATTCCTTCCCAGGTTCTGGAACTTTCTATCCATGATGGGCTCTTCCTTGGATATTCTCAGGGCTCCACTGTCGTCATTCAGGGCTCTGTCACCTGTGCAAACACCTATCCTGACAACCCACTCTGAGTAGCAGGGCCCCTTCATTGCTCCCTAGAGTACACTAACCTACCTCCATTCCAGAATAGCTCAGTTTCAGTGCTGTGGTCTGTCCAGTCCACCAGAATATTAACTCAATGGAAATGGAGACTCACAAGCCCTTACTCCATACTTGTAATAAATGCCTGGCATGAAGTGGATGCCCAGGAAGGTTTGTAGAATGAATGAATGAACTCATTTTCACCCAACAGGCCACAAATAGCATAAGACACACTTGTATAAAAAAAAAAAAGGGTTTTCAAAAATAGCAAGCAGAGTAGCAACCCTAAGCATCTTCTGTACTAACAGTGGTTAGTTAAGTGCCAATAAGATTGTGTTGAGGAGCTGGGGATGTAGCTCAGTAGTAGAGCATTTACCTAGCATTTACCTAGCATGCACAACCCTGAGTTTAATCTCCAGCTCCGCCCCCCACGCCCAAAATGCTGGTGAATGGGTGAGCCTGATATTTTGCCCCAGCCTTCAGAATGGGACATAGCCTTTTTACAGTAGCTGTGGGACAGAAGACAGCAGAAATTTTTTGCCAGAAGAGGCCAGAAGTCTGGGGCTTACCCACCTACCACTCACCCATTCCCAGTCTTAGTCAATCCTTTCTCTCCCCTCTCCTGTCTTCTTGTTTTTATTTTAGAATTTGATTCAATCATTCATTTAATCATAGGCACGGTCTATGTTGCCCAGTCTGATTTCAGTCTTCTGTGCCCAAATGATCCTCTGACTTTGCTTCCCATGTAGCTGGGGCTATAGGTATGTGCCACAGTGTGTGCATTTTATCAGCCATAGAAAACTAAGCTAAGCATGCCTATGGGATCACATGCCTATGATCCCAGTAGTCAGGAACTGAGGCAGGAGTAATGATTACTTTAACTTTTAGGCCAGCTTTGGGCTACATAATGAGTTCCAGGCCAGCCTGAGCTACTTAGCAAGACTCTGTCTCAAAACACCAAAACAAAACACTGCAGTGAGAACAGGGTACTTATAAGAGGCAGAGGCAAGGGAAGCTCAAGTTCAAGGCCAAACTGCAACACATAGTGAGTTGAAGACCAACCTAGGCTACATAGAAAGATCCTAGCTTGGGCTGGAGAGATGGCTCAGTAATTAAGAGTCCTTATTGCTTTTGCAGAGGATATGGGTTCCGTCCTGAGCAGCCACAAGATAGCTCACAATCAGGGGATCTGGCATGCTCTTCACCCTTCACATGCACCTGCCTCAGTCACTCGATCAGTTGATGCTGGAGACAACAGCTCTGGAAGAATATTTGCCTAGTGTGTGTGAGGCCTTGGGTTTGATGTCTAACACCACACAAAAGTTCAGCTTATAAGGGGCTGTATGTCTTTTACTTTGGGGGGAACCAGGGATGGCTGCCTGTTTTTGAGCCAGGGTCTTACAGTGTAGCACAAGCCTACCCCAAACTCTCCATACCCCTTCCTCAGCTTCTTGGGTGCTAACATTATGGGTGTATGCCATCCCATCGTGCCTGGTAATATTTTTTAATTTGTTCATTTCTTTCTTTGTTTTTTGAGTCAGGGTCTAGCCCAGGCTGGCCTCAGACTTGCTTTGTAGCCAAACCTGGCCTTGAACTTATGCTCCTCCAGTTTCTACCTCCCAAGTGCTGGGATTACAGCCATGCACTATCAGCCTACCTGGTATATCTTTAAAATAAGTTTATTTACAAAACGTAAATAGTTTTGTTCTGTTGGTGTTTGGGATTTTCTTGTTTTGTTTGAGATAAGATCTCAGGCTGACCTTGAACTCTCTATGAAGCTGAGAAAGACCTTTCACTTCTGATTTTTCCTGCTTCTACTTCCTGAGTGCTGGGGTGCCAGTGCACACCACCACACCCAGCTTATAAAGTGCTGTGGGTCAGACTCAGGGCCTTGTGCATGCTAAGCAAGCACTATACCACTGAGCCCCTTTCATAGCCTTTTGTGACAGGGGCTCACTATGTATCCCTGGCAGGCCTGGAACTGAGTATGTGGTCTAGGCTGGCCTCAAACTTGCAGCAATCCTCCGGTCTGTCTTCTGAATGCTGGAATTAGAGATGTATACCACCACCCCCAGCTTTGTTGTTATTTGGTTTTGTTTTCTTGAGACAGGGTCTCCCTGTAGCCCTAGCTTGCCTAGAACTCACTGTGTAGCCCAAGCTGGTCTGCATCTCATAGAGATCTGTCTGCCTCTGCCTCCCAAGTGCTGGGATTAAAGGTGTGAGCCACCACTCCCAGCTCACCCCCAATTTTTTGGTTAAAAACATTTTAATGTAGAGAATTCCTTGGAAAGTTTCTTCTGACAAAAACACTTATGTGGAGGCCTGGTTTGAGTAGAATTAATTTATTCCCTGTATTTATGTTGAGCAACCAAACTGGGTATCAGATTCTTTTCCTTAGAACAATACTGAAACCCAAGCTCTTCCCCAATACCCAAACCTAAGTTCTTCCCCTTTTTTAAAGGGAACCTCCCTCCTCCCCCTTTATTTTTTCCTTTGGTTAGAGGAAATTCACTGAGCCAAGGTTTAAAAAAAGTGTGGTCATCTGTAGAGGGCGGGATTTCCTTGGGTCTCGAAGCACGCCCCGCCCCTCCACTTCCTGACGTCATACTATTTTTGTCTTTGAATAGCTCATTGACACAATTGCCTCGGAGATCGGAGAACTGAAACAGGAGATGGTGCAGACAGATGTCAGCCTGGAAAATGGCCTGGAACCTTCTGAAACCCACAGGTGACCAAAAACGTGATGAGGTGCTGGGTGCGAGACAGGACTCGCTGAAGCCCAAGAGTGAAGAGGGCTGGCATTCCGTCATTCCTCCTAAGTTTGGGAACTGGGAGTGTGGTGGCAACACCAGAAGAAATTCTCTGTAGGAGGTGGGAGTGGCCTAGGAGCGCCTTGTCTGCTTGTTTGTTTTAATTGCTTTGAAGGCACTTGAACTTTATACCTTCTCAATTCCTCCTGGCACCAGAACCCGGAAACCTAAAATTGTCTGTGCCATGTCACAATGATGGAAAAAGTAATGCAGCGGATCCTCCGTGGGCAAAGTAGAATTCAGTATAGCCCTGTCAGTCTCCAGAAGGTTTAAAGGGGAGCAACTAAAGAGGATGGATCCATTTTGCATTCTCAGGTCAGAAAAACCCCAGAGCTACCATAGTTGTTAACCTGAAAAGCCATCTAGTGGGTTGGGAATTGGATGAGGTTGTAAACAGTTTAAGACAGGGGAGGTAATATGTTGTGTTGGTTTGGCACGCTGTACACCCTCTGGTAGGTAGAAGGGGGGCTGGTTTTTATTTGGAGAATGGGCATGCAGGGGTCAGGGTGGGCTTGGGACGATGGAGGTTATGTCCTTTAGCTCTTTGAAATTGTCATCTTCGCTAACAAAGACAGCAGTCTATCATTGCTACAAAATGACATGGACAATTAGTGCCTCAGAAACTAGATGCATAATCAACCTCACCTCCCTTTTCCCAGAGAGCAGGTTTGAGACTGCCTGGGACAGAATGAAGCTGAGATTTAAGGTATGGGTTTTGCTTATAAGTCATAGGCTGGTGAACCAGGTGACTCTGGTTGCCCAGGCAAGTTTCAAACCAGCCAGACTTGTTCTCTGCCCAAGATGGAAGGGAGTGAATACAAGCCCAGGGAGGCAGGTTCCTGACAGCTGGAGATACCCTGCCTCTCAGGAAGAACTACATTTGCCTTAGCTGGCAACAAGTTCCTTCCACTTCCTGGGCGTCTTTACAAAGTGGTGGGGTAGACCAGTTATTTCCCCACTCGTTTTGGCCTTTGGGGCTTTTTTTCTACTTCAGTGTGAAAGGTTTTAATTAAATTGTTTTCCCCCATAAATTTCACAAATGCAGTGATTTTTCAGTTAGAGACTTTTCCATTTCACATTCAAGAGTAGTTCAAAGACCCTTCTTAGAGCTTTAGGATTTACCTGCACTCTTGCAGTGTTAATTTAAGCTAAAAAGTAAAGAGGAGTTTAGGCTGATTGATGATCAGGATTTAGTGGCATCTGTTTCTTCCATATCTAGAAAGTACAGCACTGGGAGATAGACCCCAAACTCTGCAGGTAATAGACACAGAAGGAACCCCTTCTGCTGAGGGAACCCCTTCCTGAGCATAGGTCACAGAGGCTGTCAGTGTTTGGGAGGTGGTGGGTTAAGAGCCATCAAAATCTCACTTTCTGCTGTCAGCAGGCCTTAGGGTAGGAGAGCTGGTGATCATTTAATCATTAACATCTCATTTATTTGTTTATTTTTTGTGCATGTTGAGTATGTTTTCTATCACTGAGCTACACTCATTGCCCTAGCTTCTCTTTTTATCTTTTCCTTTTCAAATTTAATAATGATCAAGAGTAGGGCTGGAGAGATAGATGGCTCAGTGGTTTAGAACACTGGTTGTTCTTGTAGAGGACCCAGGTTCAAATCCCAGCACCCACATGGCAGCTAACAACTGTCCATTACTCCAGTTCCAGGGGTTCTGATGGCCTCTTCTGTTCTCCGCAGGCATTGCACACCGGTGCACTTACCTACGTGCAGGCAATACACTCATACACATAAAATAAAAATAATAAATAAAATAGTTTTTAATTAAAAAAATAATGATTAAAAGTATGCCACACTAACTTTTCTGTTCAGATTAGTTTCTCTTGTCTTTAGATGATGTATTAGTTACCATTGAATTTACTCATTCTGGGGCACTTTACTTGGCTTAAAGAATAAATAATGATACCCATGCATGGTAGCATACACCTATAATCCCAGGTGGAGGCAAGAGGCCAGCCTCAGCTACATAGCAAGTTTGAGGCCAGCTTGGGCTTTATGAGACCCTGTCTCAAAAAAATTATTTAATGGCAAAGAAAGGGAATTACCTTTATTTATTTAACAGCTTATGTATACTGTGTTTACCATGTGTCAGACACTGGCTTCAGTGGTAGAGTTGCTAACTCACTGCATCTTCATGAGAACTAAGCAGTCCATATTATGACCCTCCTTTTACTCATGTGGGAACTGAGGATGTGGCTAAAACACTGGACAGATTATCCTTGGGCTTCTGTGCTGGAGTCTGTCACTGCTTTTTTTTTTTTTTTTT